TGTCACCATGAGTCATGGATTGTGCCAATCACAGGCACTATACCACTTAGAAACATCCAGTGACTCCTTTCCTTCATCTCTTTCTCTTCTACCCATATTCAGAGGCAGCCTCTGCATATCCCAATCCCCAATAAACCTCCCATATCAGATCCTTTACATGTGACACCTGCTGCTTAAATAACAACACCTTCAATTACAGAAACAGCTTATAAAATGACATTTTAAATAGAATATATTCCTGAAAAAGTCTTGGAAAATTTATCAATGAAAATCACAGGCTATACATTTTGTTCAGCAGCAGAAAAAAAATAGTAATTGGCTATTAAAATGTAGCATAGGGGCCATCATTCATATACCAACGTTTAAACCAATTAAAGCTTTAAAATTGTTAACTTGTAACCCTGTTTAGGTAGACCGATGGCTCTTAACTAATAAGACATTATATATGCTTGAATAACTAGTAAAAGAACAGTTAGAAACTAAACATTTTAAGGAAATTACTAGTCCTTTCAATTCTCTTGAATTTGTATTAAAAAAGAAATCTGAAAAATGGAGAATGTTCATTGATTTGAGAGCTGTAAACAAAGTAATTCAATCAGTTGGGTCGATATAGCACGGGATCCCTTTACCTTCTGCATTATCTAAAGATTGGCCTATTATGGTTATTGACTTGTGATTGTTTTTTAAGTAACAAGATATAGAGAAATTTGCTTTTACAATGCCTAAATATAGTTATGCCCAGTCTGTAAAACAATGCCAATGGAAATTTCTTTCTCAGGGAATATTAAATAGTCCAAGTTTTTATGTCAGTATTTATGTATCAACCACTGGAAGTAGTTTGTAAACAAATTTTCTCAATCCATTACTTATCAATATATAGATATTTTATTGTCTGGATCTAATGCAGACACCTTAAGAAAGAATGTTTAGTTGTCCGCAGAGGCTCTTGTATCTAGAGTGAGGATGCATAACTTTCAATATAGATAGAATCCTCAACATAATTAAGCATAGCTTAAACAAAAGGGGGAAATGTAGCAGAATTTTAGCTGTCATTATATGTGGCATGAATTCCAGAGTGATGGCACATAGGCTTTGACATAGCCCTTTTCAGTGATTGACATTTGAGATTTTATGGCGTTGTTCCTTTGAAGGGTCCTCAGAGCCTTTTTATAACTTATTTCAGAGGCATGCCTGACAAACCAGGAAATATCATATGCCTTAGAATTGTGTAGGTAATGAATTCCTTCAAGAAAACCTCTAGATCAGATAAGAGGATTTGTCATGTGGAAACTGACTTGGTATAAATGTCTTTTGTGTAATAAGAAACAGTGCTTCAGATTTTGACAGGGTAATCCCCCTGCTGCTTGAGAAAGCATAGCCTCATCCTATAGTGTTGTACTTTCTTCCACCCTACCACATAAGATAGAATACCAATACGTGGCCACGTACTTAGAGAGAGCTGGCAAGTCCCAAGAGATACAAGAATGTTGAAATTATTTTCTGTATTCTACCAGACCACCAGTGATTAAAGCTAGATACAAAAACCAATAACAACAGAGAGCTTAAAATTTATGGAAATTGAAGTATTCTCTTCTGAATGAAAAGTGGGTCAGCATGAGAAGAAAGATTTCTAAGATTAAGGAAAAATTAAACATTTCTAGATTTCAAGGAAAATGAATGAATAGCATTCCCAAACTTGTGAGACACAATGAAAAGAATACAAAGAGGAAAGTTTATAGCACTAAGTGCCTTCATAAGTAAATAGAAAATATTTGATACTAGAAATTTAACAGCACACAAGAAGTCTTTAGAAGAAAAGAAGTGGCATCTAAGAGGGAGAGACTAAGAAATAATCACTTTTAGGGATGAAATCTGAAGGAGATGCAAAAGAACAAACCAAAAATCAAGAAGATAAAAAAAAAATTCTTTCCCTTTGGGGTTACCATCCCCTTCAGCTCCTTCAATCATTATCCTAACTCTTCCATGGGGCGCCCGATCTCATTCTAGTTGTTGGCTGTATCTGCCTCTGTCTCAGTCAGCTGCTGGTAGAGCCTATCAGAGGACAGCCATGTTACTGTCTGCAAGACAACATAGCATCAGTAATAGTGTCAGAGTTTGGTGCCTGCCCATCGGATGATTTCCAAGTGGGGCCAGTGACTGGTCAGCTTTTCCTCTAGTCTCTGCTCCATTTTTGTCTCTGTATTTCTTTTAGACAGAACAATTCTGAGTTGAAATTTTTGAAGGTGAGTTGGCGTCCCCATCCCTCAACTGAGGGCCATGACTAACTACTGAAGGTGGTCTCTTCAGGTTACATTTCTACACAGATGGACACTTTGGCAAAGGTCATCCACATTGAGTCCTGGGAACTTCCCACATCCCAGGACTCTGGAACTTTCTAGAAGTCCCTCCAACCCCCTGCCGATGCATATTTCCATTAATTCTCCTGGCCTTCCGGGGTGAGAAAAACCTACCAACCAAAGAGCATATATTGGCAGGTCCATGTCCAAGGCATATATGTAGCAGTAGACTGCCTTGTTTGGCCTGAGAGGGAGAGGTTGTGCCTTATCATCGAGATACTTGATGCTACAGGGAAAGGGGACACTTGTGGAGTGAGTTAGAGGTAGGTGAGTGGGTGAGGGGAGTGAAGGAAACAGCCTGTCAGAGGAAAAGGCGGGAAGGATGGGGTGAAGAACTCTGGGGAAAACCTTTCAAGTGTAAACAAAATAAGCTAATAAATTTTAAAAATAAAAAAGACAAACAATGTCAGTGAGGAAATTCAGAGAGTTATAGCAGCATATTTAAAAAACTTCATGCAATTGGAAACTTGAAATGAAATGGATTATTTTTGTAGATCAGATAAATAAGCCAAATAAACCTATATTCCCCAATAAAGTAGTCTTAATCTTTAAAACTTTCTCAAACCAAATAAAGCCCAGGGCCAGATGGTTTATCACAGAATTCTACCAGAAGATTTTAGGAATTGTTAATGCCAACACTTCTCAAATTATTGTAGAAAACAAAAGCAAGATATATTGCCCAATTCATTTTCTGAGGCCACAGTTAGGCAGATATTCAAACTACAGAAAAACACATCAATAACAACTACGGACTAATTTTTTAATGAATATAGATAGAATATTGCTCAATAAAATACTTGCAGAGTGAATGTAAGAACACATCCAAATATTCATAAAGATAGAATATTGCTCAATAAAATACTTGCAGACCGAATTTAAGAACACATCCAAATGTTCTTCCAGCACTTTTGAGTTGGCTTTATCCTTTATCCATTGCTGTGATGAGAAACCGTGGCAAAGGCAATTTATAAAAGAAAGCATTTCATTTGGGAGATCACAGTCCCAGTGATTTGTAGTGCATGACCACCTTGGCAGGAAGCATGGCAGGAAGCTGGAAGCCATGACACTGGAGTAGTAGTTGAGAGCTTATTATCTAATTCACAGACATGGGGTTGGGGTGTGGGGAATGGTGATTTGGGAACTCAAAGACAACTTCTATTGCCTCCTCCAACAAGGCCTCAGCTCCTAATCCTGCCCAAATAATTCCACCAACAGGGTGTAAGCATTTCAATATATGAGCCTATGGTAGCCATTTTTATTCAAACCATGCAGAAGTATACATATTGAGATCTTTGTAGTAACAGTGAATTGCACACAGGAGCTTTTCAAAGTATCAAGATTTTGACACAAGGGAAAAAAAAAAGAGTATTTGCATGACCCGATATATAGGTTACTTTGTTCAAATTTAATAACCATTTAGCCAAATATATATCAAGCATTATATAACAATCTTTTAATTTGTACTCTAAATTTTAGTTTAAAACAGAAATATGGACAGCATATTTACCTCGGAAGTAAAAATTTTTGACTGGAGGGGAAATGAAAAATATGAGATATAAGAGATAGTTTGTGTCTTGACTAGGTTCTGAGTCATGCAGCTATATTAACTTAAGAAAACCTGTTGATTTGTTTACTTTGATCTGTTGATATTATATTCTCATAATTGTACTGTAATTGAAATGATCACATACTGTAGCTTTAAATCTAAAATACTGTTTTATAGAAAATTTTACTAAACTATGCATAATTAAGTTAATAGATGCTGTTGGCTCCTGGAAATAGCATACATTTAAAACAAGTTTGATTTCAAGGAAGCCTATTATAGAGGACCTCATTGGAAACTTGTCATGAGGAATTAGACAGTCAGAGGAGGGAGACTCCTGACAAAGTCAACATTCAACCATGGGAAGCTAAGTAGGACAGTGTGAAAGGAAGCACAGAGGACAGAAACTCTCCACCTTCCCATGGGCATGGATGTTGATGGATATCATTACTAAACTTGACTGCACTCTTTCAATGCTGAATATTGAAGACACACAGTGAACTTGAAGGTGAGCACTCCACTGGGTGAATAGTGGTTTAACAGACTTCTCTTGAGAATATTTATTTCCTTACTAAGAAATTTATATATGAAAGACTATTGCTCCATATATTCCTTAAAACCTACAGAAATTAATAAAGTCTGGGACTATAAGACATACCTATTTAACCATTCTACAACCCTTTTAAAATTTGCTTTAAAACAAGATACTTTTTTTTAGTTTTTCAAAATATAACATGGATTTAACCACCATCAAGGTAAGTGAGCAAAGGAATGCAACTCTTTCTTGTACTTTCCTGAGTGTTTTGTTGAAGTAAAGATTTGTCAACAACATTCAACAGCTCTCTTGGACCCTATAGAGCTTACAAGGAGCTCCATCAAAAGGAGTTGGCAAAGCCCTGAGCAGGATAGCTGCAGTAATGCTGCATTCAATATTTATAACAAGTCCAGTATGAACCAACTTCTACAAGACTGACTACTTTTTCAACTGAATTAATCTTGGGTCCTGAACTAAACAAAGTTATGAAAATTCCATAAACTGATAAGGACAAAGCTGCTTTTAAAAGCTATTTATGCCTGATCAAAGCAGCTCTCAGTCCCTTTCAGACCTTTTTTAGTTCTGTAGATCTTCCTGATGAACCTGTGTCTCCACATTCTTCCTCATCAGGAGTGTCTTGCATGGCTCTCTGCAGAAGTATCTTGAGAGTCTTCCTTTGGAATCGATGACGCCTAGTGGAGCCGACAAGGAAGTAAATGATGGGATTGGCACAACTGTTAACACAGGATAGAAATATTGCCACTGGATGAAAACCACAATGTGAAACATAATAAAGTTTCCCAATCCACACTAAGAGGAACCAGAAGATTCCATAGGGTAGACCAAAGAACAGGAAGACCAGCACTGTGAATACAATGGTCACATACAACCTGGTCACAGGAATCTTGTGAAAGCCACAGAAGATAGTAATCACCGAGGCTAGACTGGACCCCAAGAGAACCACAAATAAAACAATTAACCATGCAGTAGTGATTAAATCAAATGTCTTACACCAACGAGGACTACTGATATCAGCTAGGAAGCCACATTCTTTTCCTTCCACAAGACTCAACACTAGGGACAGGACCCAAAGCAGGGTACATATGACAGCTGATGTGTGCCTTGGGCGTTGGCATCGATACCAGATGGGCCACTTGACAGACAGGCAGCGTTCAATGCTAATGGCACTGAGGATGTTCAGGCCACAAAGATAAACAAAGTTTAACACAACAATGGCAAATGAAGGAAATTCTGTGGGGACTTCCAAGATAATGTAAAAACAATATCCAATTTGAAAGCACGTGAAGACAAAGTCAGCACCAGCCAGGTTGAGGATGTAGACAGAGAAGGCATTCCTGGATATCTGGAAGCCGAGGAGCCACAACACTGTGGCATTTCCAATCAGCCCAACTAGGGCAATGATGAGAGAAATTAAAATCATTGTATGAGACAGGACTGCACAAAATGGAATTCCAGTGTGATTGCTTTCGTTCACAGCTGTGGTGCTAGTTCCCCAGTCTAGGATGTTTAAATCCTCTATTAGGAGATGTTCACTGATGATACTGTAAAGAAAAACAAGAGATGAGCACATGCTATTTACTCTCTGATTCTCAGGATCACCCATAGATGCTAATGCTTTTTTTGGCTCATAGGTGGGGTAACAGGAATGTAGAGATAATTTATCAAACTCAATATTTCTGGAGCCTTAAATTAAATCTAGCTTATATTTATTTAGTCTATCTACAAACCAGATCCTGTATTGATATAAGAGTCATTCTTGTTCCCACTTATTCTGTACATACTAAGTGTCTCATGCTGTTTTAAAAGTTGTTTTAAAACAAACTATGTCTCGGTAAGAAATAAAACTCTGAACCCAACTTTCTTTCTGTCCTAGGGCTTGTTGTTTTATGTTTTAGGGACTAAGGAGCCAGAAGCATGACCAAAAGCTGCTTCTCTCAGTCTGGAAGATGAGGAGGCTATCAAATGGGAAAATATGGAGATCATAAAGGTCAGTCATGAAATGTATGCCAAATCATGCTAAGACCAATATGAAATATCCAAGTCTATATGGTAGCATGATTCAGTATCCATTTCAAATTCTAAACTAGAAAGGAAGAAAGCTTTTGTGAACATTAAGCACTTTTCTGTTGCCTATTGCTACATCACAAGTATCTATCTCCCCTAAGGGCACAGTAAATAACTTTGAATATTCATTCAACAAATTGATAAATGAAACAAAATCTCCAAAGAAGAAGTAAATTTAGAATAAAAGTTTCTGGTGAATATTTTAGAGCAACTTCAGTGCACAAAATACATATAAAATGAAAAAAATATTATTGTTGATGATTCTGTCAGTGGACATCTCTATTGTTCTTGAAAAAATTGTTTATGTTTGAACAGAGATGGTTAATGATGGCCTTTGTAATTTCCCAATCCGAGAGAGAGAAAGAGAGAGAGAGAGAGAGAGAGAGAGAGAGAAGAAGAAGAAGGAGGAGGAGGAGGAGGAGGAGGAGG